AAGGAAAATAAAATGATAGAAATGCTGTTCATTCTTACTTGTTACAACCTTAAAGAAAGTTAATGGTGCTGTCAACAACATAACTGCATTGTGACAACTGCTCTAACAACAGAGAGTCTAGGAGAAGAGAAATCGGCAAAGCAATGCTGTTCTGGAGTAAGAGCTACCTTTGATAACAGATCTGGTCAGTGCTGTCAATAGCAGCCATAGCAGCTGCTATAGTGGCAAAGCATAGCGGCCAGCGGGCTGCCATGGCTGCTATGAAAAATCTTAACAGTGTAGCGGAAGTTCAATAGCAGCCACCTAGATAGTGGATGGCAGCCACTATTTACACTATTGTGTAATTGTGCTTAAAAGAAAATAACCCTAATTTAGCCAATTAGATTCATTTTTTAAGGGTGATTTTGTCCTTTTAATTTCATATTATTAGAAAAGATAGAAGAATAACCCTAAATTAACCCTAAATCCCCAACACCGATCTATTTTCCTCCTCTCCCAATGTCAGTGACTGAAACTCTGCCTCCCCTATTCAACTCCAACTCGCACCTCAAGTACTTTTAACTTCATCCATCTACATTCTACCCCCTTAGTTCTTCTTCTTCCTCCCTCCCTTCCTTCCTTGATTCTCTATTTTTGTTTCTGAAGCTATCTTCTTCTTGTTCCACCCTTCCCTTCCTGCTTCTCAATTTTTGTTTCTGAAGATATCAGCATACTTCTTGGTTCTCTTGGTACCTTTCTCAGATTTTTTTCTTTTTTTCAATTATGCTGGCTTGGTCACATATAATGATAGTCACAAAATTAAAAAAAAAAAAAAAAAAAGTTGGAAAAGAAAACATATTGAGCTAATCACTAAAAGATTGAATTTTTTTTGGCTGAATTAAAATCTTGAATTATTGGTAAGTCACAAAATTGAGAAAAAAAATGTAAAAAAAAAAAACTATGATGAGCATATGACTAATGCTTTAATTAGTGATAATTGTGTGATTTGTCAGAGCTGTAATCCTATAATTTGCTTGTCAAAATAAGTGCTTAATCTATTCTCCATCTTATTGTTCCTCTTATTAGATCTATTATTGTATAAATAAGTTTTTTAAATTTTTTTATGGCCACTATTTATCAATAGCTGCTGCTACGCTATCATAGCAGATTTTTGCCATTCCACTATTTGGCACCATCTGCTACTGACTACACTAGATCTGGTAGTCATTGTTTGGCAACAATTTTGGTTGCCAACTATGTTTTAATGTCTGTGTGTGTTTGCATGTGTGTGTGTAATATTAGAAAGACTTGCACCTTTTATTAGCCATAATAATATATTTAGTAATATATCTATCACATTGCCAATATATCAGCATCATCTCAGCTGTTGGATTAGTGAAATGAATGGCCAATAAATGGGAACACACAAACATGTGTGTGTAACATTAGAAAGACTAGGACTTTTTATAGCCATTGATTTCATAAATTTAATGGCTATAGTAATATCTTTAGTAATACATCTATCAAATTGCCAAATATATCTTTATCATCTGACCTGTTGAATTAGTGAAATCAATGGCTAATAAATGGGCACAAACGCACACGCAGGAGGAAAGGAATTAACTCACTCAACCTACAATTCCTGAGCTGCTGCTGTATGCAGCGTCTTCCACTTCGCCAACAGCTAGTTCACTCAATCAAATTGCCAAATATATCACCATCATCTTGCTATGCACACAAACAAATGCAGAGACACAGAAAAAGAAAGAAACTGGCTCAAGCTACAATTCCCAAGCTGTTGCTGAACTTAGTGATTGTCAGTTCACCAGCATTCAGTTCTCTCAATCAAATTGCCAAATATATGGCCATCATCTCAGCTGTTGGATTAGTGAAATCAACAGCTAATAAATGACCACACACAGAGAGGAGAAAAAGAAAGTAACTGACTCAAGCTACAATTCCCCAAGTTGCTGCTGGACTCTGTGTCTGTTAACTTGTTAGCAGTCAGTTCCCTTGCTTTCCCTTCTCCCTAGCCATGCGAACCAGCACTAATTATTTTTTCAGCTTCAGCAATTTTACACATTTATGATCCACATCATCATTTTTTTACATTTGTATTTTTTATTTCAGCTTATTGCTTAATTAAACATCTCCCATCAAATGACTATGAAGTAAAGGAAAAGAAAAGACTGATGGTTCAAATGAATGCAACCATCCATTAATAGTTTATTTGGATATTTCAAACTTTTAGTTGTTTCTTCAACCTGTATCCCTTCTAATAAACTGTTCTGTTGTTTTAACAGTTATTTTGGGCCCTTCCAGGCCCTTGAATCACAATTTAGGTATCATTGTATAAAGAAAACTAAACATTATTTTTCTCCATTCAAAAGAAAAAAAATGAGAGAACCCCAGAAGATGCAACTATATAAATTTAAAGTGGCAATTCAATATAATTTTGAATAATTTCTTCACCTTAGATCTAGAAAGTAAAAGTTTCAGCCAGATTTTCCATTTGCAGAGTTAAAAATTACCTTGAAGATATTAACCAACCATAGAGGCAATTCGACATGAGGGTCCATGCGAAGAAGGGTTTCAGCCACAATTACTGGCAACCTTGCATGAAAGACCTTGTATTTTTTCTGCAACAAAAAGCTTTAATGTAAATACAAGATAAAAAAACGAAAAAAGAAATTACAAATGAGAAGAATGAAAAGGGAAAAGAAAAAAATTATAAGTTTATATTGTTTTTAATTCAAAAGGCTTTAGGAATTCCCTTATTTCTTTTGATATTACGACTATAAATTTATAACACTTGAGCATGTAATTAGTACTGCCATAAGGAACCACACCAAGAATAAAAAAATGCCAGGCCAAAAATTACAATCCCATGAGAAATGCAGAGGAAATCTAACATGTGTTCATGAATTTAGCAGAATCATAATGCCATAGTAGATCATAGGAATGGATCCAGAAATAATATTTAGTGGGGAAAATCCATAAAAGAAATTTTCAGTATGGGCGAAAGATATCACTGGTAGTTTACCCAATGTCCCTAATGTCCATGCTGAATCTGCTGAGCTTTTATGAAGTAGTGCAGAGGTTTGGCAATCAAAACACTCTAAAAATTAACCACGTAACCCTAAATATAGGCTCATATAGCACCTCAATAACCACAGCCAGTGGTGCCCTAACTGGCTCGCCATCCAAAACATGTGATGCCAAAGAAGGAAAGCCCCAAAGGTCATGTTTGTTTGGTAGTAATAACTATTCCTTGGTCAAACTATAAAAATGAAGTAAATTTGATAAACTTCCTTAAGAAGCTAGGAGATAATTATCTATTAAACTCAGGGATGAATGAAGAATATTTATTCCTTCAATTTTTTCAGGAATAGAGATTTCTTGATTCTTAGTAAATGTAAAGAGAAAATAAAACATCAAGGCTTAATTATTCCTAATTTGCAATGAAAGTTTCTCAATTTTACATTTTTTATAGTTTCACCAAGGTATGGTAACTGCCACCAACCAAACAAGCCCTAAGACTTTCAACTTTCAACCTAACCAACAAAAGAAAGCATGTTTTTACTTTCAAATTATCAGGTACAGATTTACATGATTAATTTTCTTTCTATTCCATTATTATTTTAAAGCAAAAGCATGGATTACCTACATTTTTCGATGCAATAGAAAACAAAACAAGTAACATAAGGAAGATATTAAACAGGAATAACTTGTTTAAAACATTAGTTATTCAAAGCGAAATCAGCAAAAAAATGCAGGGTCTGCAAAAGTAACAGAAAATTCCTTTTCTTCTGCCACACAGGATATTATTACATCCTATAGGAGAAGGATACATCCCATAAAATGTTAGCAGTTCTATTGAAACACAATTAAGTGGCTGAATTGGATATTTGGGAATGTGTTAGTGTTTTTCTTCACTTTTTAACCTTTATCCCAATAAAAGAGCATTCAACCAATCAATAAGAAAACAATTACCAGAACATTTAATTCGAACTATTCTCCATATGCTTTAGAGATTTAAAAAACTCAGATGATACTCAGAAAAGCCCAAAGAATTATGATTTAGCCAACAAAGACTTTAATCCTTATTTTTCATGTAATTGCAGTTTTATAATTCTATCCCTTTAGTTATATACTTTCATTCATGTCAGCAGTGTTGTTAAAGGTGAAAAGTGAGACGAAGCAATGGCCTGAAAAATGCCAAAGTGATAGAGCGAGAAGCGAAGCGATCATTTCTTTGAAGTGAAGTGAGTAACACTTTGAAGTGATTGATTATTAAACAGAATAGAACTAATTAGATTAGAAACTTAAGAATATTAAGAATGGAAAAGAAGAAGAGAGCGGAAGTAATAGGTTTATAAATTAAATTCTACTTTACTTGGTACAAGTAGAACTAGATTCTGTTTTGGAATTAAAATTTAGGAGTCTTATAAAGTGAAAAACTGACTATTTCAATCTATACTGTACAGATATGATATTAAGTTTCTTAATCAAGGTCCCCTAAACTAGATAGATTTGAACTCCAGAAGTTCTACTAACAAGAAATAGAACTGAAAAATAAAGGCACGGATAAAGCAGAAATGCATAGAATTAAGACAATACTAAAGAATTCTGTTTCTATTTCCATGAAACTTTATTTTAACTAAATTAAGATAATCTGCTGATGAGGAAAAAAAAAAAAAAAAAGGAGAACATGTCGATAAAGTTAGGGAAGAGGATGAAGCCAGGGAAAAAGAAGAGACCGGAAGGAGAATATGCAAATTAAAAAAAATAATAAAATAAAGAAACTAAGAAAATTGTAGATGAACTGATGAAGTCATCAGACAATGAAGTCACTAAGAAAATTAGGGGAAGAGGTAGTGAGCAAGCACAGAAACTTACTGCTTTTGCCCTAATTAGAGTCAAAATTCCAATTTTAACCCTTAATGCTTCTATATATATTTTTTTATTCATAAGGGTTTGTAGTCATTTTGGGTCTTTTTAAAGAAGTGATCGCTTCAACATCATAGCACTTTTATCGCTTCATTTTGTTTCAATCATGTAATTTCTATGATGTAGGATTATTAATTAATTAAATGCTAACTTTAGTCCCCAAACATTTAACTTTGCACTTTTTTGTCTCTAAACTACTTTGCTAAAACTAAATCCTATAACCTCCCATAAACCCCTACCAAGATCTATATTAATCAATTCACCATGACATGACTTCCCTGAATCCCTAACTTATTGTTCACACATCTTCACAACCACCAATAGCTTAGTTAATCATCAAATCCTTGAATATTTTTTCCCTTCTTGACCCTAAACAAAGTAACAAACCACAATTCAATCCCAGCTATCCCGTAATTTCCCCCTTTTTCTTCACCTATAAATTGCCCTAAAATATCCTCAAAAACCTGTCCACTTCAATAGGCAGATTTCCACAAATATGTCCTATAATGAATTAAAATTTATTATAAACTAGAAAAAATAATAAAAAAGGAACATAAAAACTATATTAGTTATGTGAACGCCAAAGAGGCAATTTTCTTGATTCGTCTATAATTATCTTTAATTATGACAAAAAAAGTAATATCTTTAATTTTAAATAACGAAAGAAACTAAAAGATGGCTAAAAAAAGAAATCTAAAAGAAATTTAAGCATGCTGAAGATACGCACAAGATAAATCTCAAGAGTTTCCCATTGACTATTCAAATTTGTTTGTTGAGTGGTAAGCCCAATCTCAGCTGAACCATCTAAAATCACTTCATCCTTTGATGAAGTCACCAGGAGGCTGTGCTTTCTGAAAAACTTCCAATTGGTCAAAATTCACCATATGTAGAAATATTGGCTTCCTCAAAAAGCAAATAAGTGACATGGATGAGATTGTATCCTACCCTGCCACATAGGAGCTTACAGTACTTTGACAGCATTTTAATGACATGGCATAAAAGACATTTTCCAGCTCCCTGAGAAAACAAAGGTTAAATCACACCATGTGCATCAGTTGGAGGATACATGATAACAATGAAATCATAGTATCACACTGAGGCATATGAAATTCCACCTCTTCAATCCTGAATCTTTCCAGAACTTCATTAGGACAGTGAAGGCCATGTCATACAAATTTGTTTGAAGAAGGAGATCAACCAAATCTGAAGGGGGTTTTTGAGTTCCTGGAGGAAGGAAAGGATAACAGAACACCAGAGAAGTCAAAGAATTGCAAAGAAGTTTCCAAAATGATTATTAAATCATTTGCTAAGATTTTTTAAATCAAATAAACTGTTTCACAATCGCACTGATCAAGAAGATATCACAAAGTTCAATGTTTCATCAAATCGTCAGCCACTCATGAATGAGATACATCCCTTTGAGGCCAAGAAGAACAATACAGAATTTGAATCCTTTATCAGCTTAAAACCAGTGAATGTATGTAACTCATCTTAGACATATGTTTTCAGAAACCTAGTTGGATCTGGGTGCATGAAACTTCACCTCTACTTGTCATTAAAGACAATCTCTGTAAGGTACTTGGAAATCAAATCCCTCTACAACAATTGGTTTTGGTCATCTGAGTATTTAACCCTCCCCAGCTTTTGTTTTAATTCATTTCTTGATATATCTTTATAAATGAGCTACAACGTGCATATTGGTGAATAAAAAGGAGGCTGAAGAAAGTTACCAGAATATGTCCATTTCACGTTGGCCAGTGAGAGTAAATATTCTGCTGATGCCAGCACAAATTCATTTTCCAATTTCTCTGTATCAATATAAAATTGAGGCCTCACAAGCTGCCAATCCTTGCCAGCTGCTGCAGAAAAAGAGAAAATTATAACAAGAAGTCAAGAAGATGATACCAAATTAGGAAAAAAAATATAAAATTTAAAACAATAGAATGATGAAGTTGATTTATAAATTACATTCTTCTGTCACTGTCTTTTTAGCCTTTTTACTTGGATAATGCTCACTGTGGAGAAAATTTGCTTCATTAAGAGGATCAATCCAAGCATACATCGGATGAACAAGATTCAGTGCATTGATAGCAGCAGAGAGCCCATTCAGCCTCTCCAGCAGTGCCACTGATATTTTTTGTTGATTTTTTACAACCAATTCAGTTCTCAAATTAGATGAGTATATATATATGTAATTTGCTGCTCTTTGCCAGTTATGTCGATGCATTTCAAATGCATAGAGCAACTTGTATGGATTTGGCTTTGCCAAGACATCTGAACGCTCTGCCTACAAATTTTCAGTGTGAGAAGTGTCCAATAAGATTAGTGTGCTAGCAAACACATAACATATGAAAAATAAAACATTAACTAAAGTTGAAATGAGTACCTTCCAGGCAAGTTCTTGCTCAACTTTATCAGCTAAATCAATGAAGGGCAACTGACCATCACAAAGAACCTGGAGTACATGAAGGAAAGCAAAGACATCCTGATTAGAAATATGGCAAGCCAAAATCTTTATCCATCTAGTGGATTGAGATTATCCATAAACAAAGGAAAAATCAGCTTCTCATAAAAAATACAGCAGGAAGGCAAAATCTAACAAAGATGCAATGGCCAACAAATAACAAAAAGATATTACATAACCCAGAATCAAATTTCCATGGTGAGAACATGACATAAGTGATGGCAAAAACAAAATATCCCACTTCTAATTATGTGTGTTCCATAGCACTAGAACCCACTAAAGTAGATATTCACCTTCCTTCACACAGAAAACTTTTAAGGTCTGCAACCAGGATAAACTAAAGTCAAAAGGTATACCTCATAGTTATCTAGGAAATAAACTTTAATTTTCAATTTTGTTTAGCAGTATTTAGTAAAAATGGATACCATGAATGGAGAAAAACTCATATCAAGTTAACCAAGCCAAGAACAGAAATACATGTAAGATTGGGATCGGGAATGAAACTAGCAGATAAATCTTCATTTAGCAAGTTCCTTTCAGATTTGTGTTTAACAGATTGTTATTTATTGCTTTTCAGTAGCTGTGAACCTAGCAGCAATACTATTAGGGCTTGACATTTTGAACACAGTTACATTGGGCGAAAAAAGAGTAATCTGGTAAGAAACCTTTAGTGCTCCACGTTCATAAAGAACTATTATAAACCGTCTCAAGCAGATGCTTTTGCTCTCCTCGTCTGGATTTGAAATTATTGCACAATAAGCATCATTCAAGAGATTTAGATCCAAAGTAAACTTGAATATATTTGCCCAAAGACGTCCTTTTATGGTGGTGGCTGACTCGTTAAATGGATCTCTCTCAAAGAAGTCATCATCCAGTCTAAGAGCTTCATCAACTTGCTCCAATGCAGCAAGAGCAAATTGACAAGCCCCTTCACTAATATTATATTGCTCAAATAACTGCATTGCCCATTGATAATATAGAAGCTTCCATGCAGGAGATGCAACAAAACCACCTGGAACAAAACAATAAAGTAATCAATTTCGCGAAAAGAAAATATAGGATTGTTTTTTTTTTTTCCTAAGGAAGCTATCAATTTTCTTTGATAAGCTTACTAAAACCAAGATATGGCAATCCCACTTCTGGAGACAAACTCTGCAAAGCCTGGGACGCACTCTTTCCAGATGAAGCTCTACATAGACCAAAATAAAGTTAACTGTTTCAGATTTTGCTTCAGTTCCTATATGTTTTATCTCCATAATTGCTTCTGATAAAAAGGTAGAAAGAAATGTAGTATGCAAGAAGGATACATGATAATTATAATAACTAAATTAAAAATTAGAATAGCATCATGAGGGTAAAGGTTAATCAAAATCAAAGGTATCAAATACTAAAACAGAACTTAACAACAAACTGATCATAACAGTAAAAAAAAAAAAAAGACATCCTTTTGATTCCATCTTTTGTATTTTTGGTCAGCCTTGTGATCCCATCTAGTTGAGCACTATTAGCTTAGCTACTTGACAAATAAAATACCTGAAAAAACAGTGAACAGCTTCACAAACTTTTCTATCTTTCAGGATTCCATGTAATCCACATTGCATTTGAGCAAGATGACAACACCCAAGAAGATGTTGAAGTAAGCACCAATCGCTGCCATCATCTTGAATGCATTTGAATATCCTTTCCCTTTCTGAATTTGCCTCCATACTAGAGAGCAGGAACTTTAAGAGATTGAAACCAGAAAATAAGAAATGTCAAGTGAAATCACCAATAATGTGTCTCTTAATAGAAGGAAATTATTGTAAGGAAGTTTAAAATATAAAACCTTGAGAGCATCATATTGGCCATGCCTAAGCAGGATCAGGGAAAGGGTAATTGAACGCCTTAAGAATGAAGGAGATTCGTCTCCAACCTTTCCAAAAATGATCCAACTTGTAAATTTCTGCACCATACTAATAATGTCATGTGGATTAGGCAGGTATCCCAAAGAAAGGCATCTCTCATCTACAGAGGAACTCTGAATGTTTGGTAGAAGTATAGAAGCTAATGTGAAATCAGGTTTCCCGAGCTTCTCATTCCACAATTTTTTATTAGTGTTGCTGCCTGGACATTGACAAAAACAGGAAAACTATCAAATGAATACTGTATTTGCAACCTAAGTGATATAGCATCTAGTAACTATGGTGGCAGATATATCAATAGGGGTAATGCTAGAGGGACTGATTAGTCCCCAAGCCAATTGGTCCCCTATAGCTATTTTTTTTTTTTTAGATATAATAACTCTAAATTTTTATTTTTAAGTCTTGTTATTTTATTTTTAAGTTATTAAATCTTAAATTTAAATATTAAACCCTAAAACATAAAAACCTAAACCTAACACTTAAATTCTAAACCTTAACATGCATCTTAAATTCTAAACTCTAAAAACTTTAAACCCTAACACCCTAAATACTAGTAAATGGCAATGCTATACTTACAATACCATATAAGATTGTAAAGTTACAATCATTGTCATTAAATAAGTATGACATATCATTAAATGAATGGACGCATAATATCACAGGTGGACCCCAACATTAAAAGAGCTAATTATAAAACAGCATATCCTATTGTAAGCTTACAATACCATGTGGCATTGTAACTATATCATTTTCATACTAGTAAACTCTAAAACATCTATATCCTGACATCCTAAGTATTGAAATTCAAAATAATCTAAGCCATAACACACTTAAAACTAAACTCTTATTAAAGTTTGAAAACTAAAAAATGGTTCAAAATAATTGAGGGACTAAAATGATTTTAAATTGTTAGATTAAGGGACCAATTCTTAGTTTAACCATAACAAAGGCAAAAAAAAAAAAAAAATTAACGGGTATGGGGCTGCCACCTACCATCAGCCTCCTAAAAATTATCCTATCATTAGTCCACATCATTGAAGGATAATTTTCTTTAGTTTTTTTGAAGACCAAAATGAAAGTTGCTTTTATATCCATAAAATTACAAGCATTTTGAAGCTAAAACCTTATATGACATCACAGTTATGACCAGTCACTTAGCCAAAAAAAAAAACAGAAGACACCAGTCATGCTCAAATCATAAGGTAGATAATGCAGCTAAAACCTTAAATGACTTCACAATTATGACCACTTAGATATAACAATTAATTGACATGTTAAGTAGGAAATCCCACAACAAGGATATAACAAAGAAACAAAAGGGTTAAGTACAAGGAAGGCTACTTCACTTATTGCCAATTGGTTTTTGGGTTGGATGCAAGCCTTGTAAAGCCCACATGTCAGTTTTCACATGATAAAATATCAAAGTGATAACATTTTCTCATAATAAAAACTGGTTAATAAGTCAATCCAAAAAGAAAAAAATAAAATTAAAAATAACTTACCAATGTGTAATGATGAAAGTTGAGAACTAAAATCTTCAATTGAAAGTGACTCAGATGGTGTAGTGCTAAAGAAAAGAACGATTAGCCACTCAAAAACAACTTCTTGAATCATTGGAACCATCTCAAGTTGGATTTTAGATATGTCATGATGTGACATGTCAATCTGTCAAAAAAACATAGGAACTTAGACATTCATATCAAGCCTGTATTCAAATTTGGTTCAGAATCAACACATACTGGCAAATGACAAAACTCATCAGAATAACAAGACAAGAAGGAAAAGAAGGCCAAATTAGATGCATGTCCTAAAAAGGGAAATACTTCCCTTTTTGTTTGAATTTGGGCAAATTACTCCTAATGCTTGTTTGGGCATGTTGGATTCCATTCCAATGTTTATTTAACTTACATGCATTGATGAGAACAGAACCCCTAACCAAGCCTTCCCCTCTCGATCACGAATAACATATGCGTTAGACAAATACCATTCGACATATTTTCTTAAGGGAACAAATCTTAAAAAGCTCTGCATAAGACGTTAGAGACATTATAGAAAAAATGAAAATCACAAAATAGCTCTATTAATAATATTGTTGGTGAAGCAATAACCAATCTTTGATCCTCCAACTAAACGAAATTTTTTTTGAAAAAGAACTGATTCTGAAATCATTTTTTTCATATCACATATTCCAAAATACAAAAGAAAAGTTTGTTCCTTTTCCTTTCCTTTCCTTTCCTAAATTTAATTCAATTTTTTAGAAGATAAAGATTTTTGTTTTCAATTTTTTGTATAAACTATCGCTTTTGTCAATTAAAATGAGAAGAAATGTAATGCACAATGAATTTCTATATTGAACTAAAAGAATAATGCAACCAATAAGGAAAAGTATTACTAACTTAATGTCCAAAAGAAACATTTGGTAAAGTATTATTATTAGGGTTCTAACACCGTAAGGGCACAAGTTAAAAGGTGTAATTAATACACCTTTTAGCAATTAACTTACATGAAAAAATGTAAAAGCTAATATTAATTTTTGTACCAATGCCACTTGGACAGTTGACAAATTAAAAGTTAATTTTTATTTTTCAATAAAAATTAATTGTTAAAAGGTGCATTAATTACACCCTTAACTGGTACAAATTAGAAAAACCCTCATCATTATACTAGCTAGAAAAGTTGACTGGGTGAACTGAAAAGCATAACTTCATTTATCATATTTTTCTAAAAGAAAAGTAAAAATCAGAATATCTGTCATTTGAAAATCAAGGACTACCAATGAAATTGTTCAAATACCCTTAATCAATCATCACACAAGGAATCATCCTTGTGTGATGATTCATTAAAGGTATTTAAGTCCTTCAATTATCATTCTTGGCATTTTAGGATGTCTTGATTTCCCTCAATCTGTTTTTCTAATAGTTCATTGTTTTTTAAACAGTATTTGCTTTCAAAAGGCAATCACCTTACGTGAAGATGCAAAAACAATTTCCCGTAGTGTCTTTTACATAATCCAACAAAGTAAAACATAGCTAAAATCTAGAATAACCTGCTCATATGCTTTGAGCATTCAAAACAATCATGTTAGGAAACAATGATTCTACCAGTAAAGAATTGATCTGATCACTTAAGAAGGAGAAATAATGAGGCAAAATTCTTGATGTAGAACAAGGGAATTTTAGATAAATAGAGAACGAGGAAAAGATGAGAAGAGAATAGAGAAACTAGGGATTTTTGGAAGACTTAAACTCCATTCACATGAGAACTAACTTACCCTAATACAAACTAATGCTTACATAGAAAAAGCTAAAACCCTAATTTAGACTTAATTCCCCAATTAGACTCCTAAAAGGAATCTTTATTGAAAGATATTAAATATCTAATACCATAAACTACTAGATCAAATTCATCTAAAAAAAAAACCAACTAGATCAATGATACAATTACAAATTAATTCCAATGTACTCATAATTATAATAAATTCCTAATATGTAGATGATTTGCTTACCTGCATTCTCAATTCTTTCTTTGAATGTACAAATCATGAAAGACTACTCAAAAAAAAAATAATAATAATATTGGTACAATAGATAAATTAAAGGCAAAAAAAGATGTAAAGCTACTTTTTTTCAATGCAGACTCTTAAGAAAATGTAAAAGCAGACAAGAAGGGAAAAAACTAACCTGCCAACTGATATCAGCCAAATAGCTAACAAAAAGAAGGATATCCAATGCAGACTCAAACATCACCTTCGCAATCTGGCAGACAGCTGGGACCACAATGGAATTGCTGATATTAAACAATGTTCCAGCACCTGAATCTTTTATAACTTTCTGGGGAACAAGAACCTGCAGATACTTCCCTAAAACATCAAAAACTTTCTCCCAAGAGGCTGCTTTTTTATAAAGAACATGAAGTGACAGCAATATGTCAACAGAAAATTTCCTCAGATTTTTGTGATCTGCCTGCTCTTTTTCCCATGCAACATCAGCTCCAAGATTAAATACATGGAGTTCTGCTATTATTGACCCATGTCCAGTTTCTAGAACCTTCAGCAAGCGACGAACAATCTCCTCAGAGGAAATAATATGCTTGCAAACAAGTGATTCATAAAAAATAGCATAAGTTGTTTTGCCCAACTGTTGGCTAATATTAATAATGCATCTAAGCAATTCAGCAAGTATCTCCCGTTCAGAATCATCATCCAATGAATTCAACCCAATGCTTACAAGATCACCAAGTTCCTCTCGAGAACCTATAACAAAGCTAATGCACATAAGTAAACATTTTACAATAAGAGAATAAATAAATAAATAAAGTTAAAAATGATCTGGATAGAAACAGAAAATAAAATATCCCTCCCATACCATCTATGAGTAGCTCAATGTTCTCCAAACCACGAAATAAAGATACAGAACTTTTTCTGATTAAACCAACAGCACCTGATGAGGACCCTACAATCAAGCTGCATGGCGCATTATTTCTGCACCAGTAATGGAAATAGCGCCTACAAAAGTTTTTCCACCCTTGAAATATTGATACACTTTTGGGAAGAGTCTAAAAAAATATGTGAAGGTGTTAGAACTGGAAAACATCTCTATACCCTTCAAGAAATAAAATTTACCGAAAAGAAATTTGAAACTGCTATAGTGGAGAAAACACAAACCTTATCTTCAACCAGCAAAAGAATCTCCTTTTTGAGTCCATCAACAGTCAAGGACTGAAACTCAGAATCAGTCCAGTGCTTGTTATAATCTATTAAAGTTGCACGTAGAACTAGGTTGTGAAGAACCCCAGGATGAAGAAGTCTTCATAAGAAAATAGAAGAAACAAGTGGAAAAATGTGCTCCTGCAAAAAATTTTAGAAAAGATATCATAAGCCAAAATAAAGTTGTTAAACCAAATACAAATCAATAACAATAAAAATAAAAAAACCAAGCCCAACAAATAATGCAAAAATACAACATGATGATAGCATGGGAAACTTCTTGCTTGTCATACATGCATATGAGAAGCAGCAAAAATAAGATTTTAATGAAAAACATCTGAGGGGAAAAAAGGGAGAAAGAAAAACAAGAAAGACAAATAAATTGGTTAATGATATTCCTGACATCAGACTTATCAATTTCTTTTATTTAGATCAGTCCATAAAGTTCAGGGAAGATGGTGCAAAGAGAGTTCTTTGTTGGCCATAGATAAGCAGGGTGTTTGAGGAAGAAAAAACAGGAAAAAGTAGTTCAGGATTTAAAATTAATTGATGACTACATATAAAGCTAAGACAATAAAAATGTTGATGGCAGCAGGCTTAATTGGTTCCTCAAGTTAACATTTAAAATATAATTTGAGCACAAGGGCTACACAAATCTAACCTATGCAAATAAACAAAGAATTAGAAAGAATCAAGTGAATGCAATCCGACTATTTTTCCATAAATTACTGAAGCTTTTGGAAAATGCAAGCTGGAACTAGAACCTGCTTACATAGTTGAATAAAATATCAGATATTATTTCATATAAATCCAGCAAGAGGATAAAGTAGTACGCACAGAGCTTGATTCTTCTTATGCAAATAAACTAAAATAGACACAAATACTAACAAATTAAAAAAGATAAATCTGATAATCAATGCCCACAATAGCTCATCAAGTAAACCAAGATACAACAGCACCTTTCCTGATGAAAACACTGAATTAGCCATCAAAATAAGATCATCTACAGAATTTTCCAAACTTTGAAACAGCTGATCTGCAACGAATTCTTCTTGTGAGACATAGCAGCCTGCTTCTTCCCTAAAAACAAAGTTCATTGAAAAAGTTTAGATTGTACAGGTAGATATGGCATCAAAGGATTAGTGAATTGCAAACAACTCTGCATCCGATTAGAAAACAAAAGCCAAACTTATCTCAATAACTCTGTGATTTATGTGTATGCAATTTGAGAATTTTGAGAATATAGTTGCAGTGTTGCACCAACAACATTAGATGATGACAATTGAAAAGGACATGCTGAAAACATGTTATAACAATATATATTCAGAAACATAGGTAAAACCATTCTTGAAGCTATAAACGGCAGGGAACTGAGTAAGTTTGAAAGATAAATTATAGTCTTTAGACATTCATGAAAAAATAATGTGGATGCAATCCTTTGATTTGAAACAGCCTATAACATGCACAACTATAAGGACTGAGATGAGTAATCTGCAAACTAATATGGTAAAGTTATGTATTGCCAAGAAAAGAAAAAGTGTCACAGGAATAGGCATGCAAAATCTTACAAAGGCATGCAAAATCTTACATGGCAGTGTTTGTATGAAGCAGATAGTTATACACTAATCCATTATCCTTTAAAATCCAAATTTTGTCTGTTGTAAGTTTGACATCAACACATTCCCCCTGAAATAATAACATTCATAAGCAGATCAGCAGATCAAATAAAGGTTCAATTTAAAATCAACTTAAAAAACAAAGATTATGGGAAGTGGCAAGTTACCTCCTCCTGAGGAATACTTTGGTGTGAAGATTCCATTGACAAGAACATCTTGTCCCCAATACTGTAGTGAAGATTATAAACATTGATGATTGCCAAGCCAACTTCCTTTACAGTTAGGTGAAAAAAATTAATCAGTGTCAACATAAGGAGTGCCAACATAACAAACTAGACAAGAACTAACCAATATAGCAGAAGGCAATGGGTGGCCACCACCCAGCGCCCATGTGCACCTAGGCACACTTGGGCATTCTCTGATTTTAAAATTTTTTTCTTTTTAAAAAAATGAAAAATTGGAAAAATCAGAAGAAAAAAAAAAAAAAGTCTGAAAGAAACTGGAAAAAATCAGAATTATACCAAGCAGGCAAGCACAACTATAAATGCTTTCATTTTTTATTTTCGGATTTTGTTAATGATTTATTTTCTATCTTTAATTATTATATGTTTGACAATTTTTGACCTTTTCTTGCCTGAAAAGGTGCATGTGGATTTTCACTAAAGGAGTTCTCTTTCAAACTCTAGATTCAACAAGTCAAGACGGAAATAGAGCTACACACCAATGTGGCACGCACCACCTTGAGGTAAGATATTGAGTTCCCCACTTACTCATGGACAGATCTATATGAACCCTCAGCAGAATTTCTAGAAAAAAATTTAAAATTATTCCACTACCTCATGTCCAGAAAACTCAACAGTATTTTAGGTAAAACCATCTGCAGCTCATGTAAAATGATAAAAGATGATTATGTTGGACCTGCACCACCTACAAATGAAAGCCAGGGACTAGTTTTTTTGGGATGGAATTAGAGGCGTGTGAACAATACCTTCAATAAATATATGGTTACTCTTTATTTTGGGCCTAAACCACACGAAGGCATTTCTAATTCTAAAATATTTTTTCTATACAACTTTTAACTGAAGCTTTTAGAGTGATCTATAGTTTGACAACAAAAATCATTTAAAGATCCCTTTATCCAAAGGTATGACAGCAAAAATCCAAAACTAAATCCCTATATTTCAACTGCCAATTCAACTTAGTAATCTTTTACCATCAACCGAATAGGATCACATTTTGTTATCACAAAAGCTGAGGCGATAAGGCAGGTGCCTCACTAAATAATTTGTTAATCATCTTGACCCTGAATTTAATTGGAAACCCTAATCATTTAAGATTCTTTAAGAGGTTAAGACTAGTAGGACTTAATTAAAAGAGTTATTTTAATGTTTGTTGAAAAGCCAAATGATTTAGAAATCATTTAAAAGTAGAAAATTGCAGAGGTTAAGGTTTAACAAGTAAGAACCTCAATCAAACTCTGCACCAAAAGCTATAACCAAAAGATGAATTGAAAATAAGTAAAACTTTTATTCTCCCATCTTGCTACCTTTCCCTAATACATTCTTCCTCTCTTTTATTTCTTTTCTCCATTTTCATCCATGGAATCAAAACCATCCTCTGCTTTAGGTGACAGACAATTAAATTCTCATTTACAAAACGTTTGACAAAGGACATGCAACTCTTTTTTGTTCATCAGATTGATAAGTAATCCCAACTTTCCAAAAATGCCACAACTAAATGCTGGTCAACTTTCAGGCTGGATCAAACTCAGTCCAAACATGATAAGTTCATGTCATGCAAATCCAACCCCTTTAAGGGTGCTCAAGTTAAGGGAAATGAAGTAGAGGTGAAGAAACGGAAGGGAAATGAGGAACCCTCTATTTGGATAAAGAGATAAAATGGAAAGGAAGGTAATATTTTCTATCCTTTCCTTTTCTTCTCCTTTGTTAATTTTATAAGTTATCCAATAAGGTACATATTTTCCTTTCATTTTCTTTCCCCTCACTTCCCCTCCATCTCCCTCAACCCAAACACAGTGTGTCAGGTTCAACCATCAAGCCACTCCTAAAATTCTAAAAATTCACAAAAAGAATGTAACCAACAAAAACAAGTTAATTAACAACAAAATTTACAGGCATGTCACATTTCAGAACACAAGAATAGAAGCTGAGAAATAACTACATCTTTCTAAATAATAGAGAATAGAGATAGGCTCTACCTAACATAGTAAATTAAATTTAGAAGCATGTTATAATTTTAATACCTAGTATATTCATAATTATAATAGAATCCCATTAAATGTATGATTTCCTTTCTTATGTGCATATTCTCACCCACTTGGTGAAAACTTGATCCCAAGTGCTGAAGTAGGAAGAATCACGTGGATGACAAAATAAACCAGTTGGAGTAGCATTTGACTTAACTCCTAAGAAGGAAGTTGAACACCAAATTCTTCAAAAAAAATGAAATTAAACTGGTTCAACAACTTGCAAGACGAAAGAATTCAAGAGGTCCTTCCTCAATTTCCACCTTCACATCCACCTCCAATTCAAAGTTCTTCAAGCGCCACTTTATAAGACTTTCTTCTAACATCCTCCTTTAATTCCTCATTTCCTACAAAACTTTTTCATTAGTAAGATTAATTTCTCTTACACCTAGATTTTCTTTTCCATTCTGGGCTTGTGTCAAATAAGGCCCAATCTTAATAGCACAATTTTCAAGCACTTCTTCAACCAAATT